ACAACCCCAAAAGTTGGATAACAAGTTGGTGGTTCATTCTGTCAAAGCCATTTACATAGAGAGTGAAAAAGTATTGATCTCCAATAACAGTCCCTGTTGCACTCCAATCATCATCCCCTCTCTTCCCCTGGCCCATAACCTTTACCCATTCTAATCTGCCCTCCATCATCTAACCAGCTCCCTCCTCCATTTGAAAATGGGTCCTTCTCTGCTTCACCAGCAACAGCACGGATTAGTCTCCCGTGTGACACTGTGTGAAATGCCCCTGGGAAATCCAGCTTCATTATACACACAATTTCACACCTGCCCACTCTCACAGAAACTTCTTGAAAAACTCCATCAGATTTGTTGAATAAGAATTGCCTTTTAAAAAAATCAGCTCACATCTAGAATATATTTTACAATGCTACTTACAACCCATTTAAAATTATAGATTTAAGGTTCCTTCAGGTTTAAATTTAAACATCCTAAAGTCAGAAACTCAGCTTTATCATTCACTCTTCCTCCTCATTGTATTTGTATTTAATGGTAATATCTGGCTTTTGCCAGTCTTTGTTGTGTGAAATTTCACATAGTGCACAATGCCCCTGCTAAAAAATAATATGCAAGGCACTTTTTGATTCAGTGCAGGAAAGATTGTAACAAAATATCTCTCAGCCACGACCACTAAAATTTAGTCTAACACACACATGCATAATGGCTGTGGTCACAAGTCCTGCTGTTTCGACAGCGTATGCGCTCATGATGCAACTCATCTGATCTCAAAAGCTAAACAATGTTCACATGGACCTGTGAGAGCATTCAAAACACAAAATAAGACAAAATACGTAGAGAAACCCTGACTCCTGGAGCGCTGCCTGAAAGGGAGCTTTTAAAGAGCATCTAAAATAGTTTTGCCAAACACAATGTGTTGAAATTGCCTGAAGGAGCAGGAGCCTACAATTGGCTGGGTGGTGACACAAGGGCAGGCAAGGAACAAGAAGCAGTTTGTCTTTGCTGCTGATTAGGACAGTGTGACAAGCAGATTGTCACAGCTCTGGTCCTGTGGCAGTCCTGCAGGACTGCCTGAGTTCCCTTTTCTCCTCCTGCTGTGCAGCAAATGGGAGGGACATGCTGGATGAGAGGAACCATCCTTCCTGCCTGCATCAGACTATTTCTGATTTTAGAGCTAAACTGAGGCTGAAATGGTACCCAAGCAAACCAGGTAACTTCTCCTTCTCTATGCCCATATGCCTCCTTGCCCATCCAGTCTCTCCTGTATGCAGCAGATGAATGCCTCATTATCCGATTCCTCTGCTTGCTTCCCGGTAGACTTAAATTACCATGTTAAATAGGATAATAATAAACACTGGCCTTTAACTACAGCACATCCTTGTTCACTCAGCAGCCTCCCTCTAATCTGATAAAAGGTCTGTAAAAGGCTACAAGGAAACACGGAGTTAGTTGTTACGCGGGTGCCTCTCCCTGCTTTCTGCAGGGTGATTATTACGGCATCACGCCTAGACTCAGACTCACAAAGCTGGTTTAGGGGATCTTGATCCCTACAAGAATTATCAGGTATCAAAACAGGGGCAAGGTACCAAAAGCACATGGTGGATCTGGCCCAAGACTCTTCTGCTGCATTTCAAAAGGCAAAAGTAGCCCTGTGCCATCTGCTTGCCTCAGCACTTGGACTCCAAAACCAAAGCAGCCAAGGAAATCTTTCCGGCTTAGGAAAACAGCGGGGAAGAAGAGAGATCTCGGTGGCAGTGTTTGCTGCCTTCGCACAAAGCTCACTGCATTTGAGATATTAGAGAAGCTCTTTTTAACTACTCTGGAAAAAAAGTCATCTATCCACCCAGAATAAATTAAATAAAGGGAGCGAACTGGATTGGGAACGAGAGGCCTGATCTGCCCAGACTTTGAATCCCCTTTGCCCCCAGAAGCTGAAAGTGCCATTTACTTCACCGTCACAGGATTTCCTGCTTTTTGTTGTTGTTGTTGGGGTTTTTTTGTATTTAGTTTACCTAATCCCCCAGATTTCTCTTGTTGCAAAAAGAGGAAAAAGCATTACAAAACAACAGGGGATAAACACAAAGTCAAATTACTTTGCTGATCTCTTTCACACATCCAAAAGAAGCAGAGAACTACAAACTCTGGAAAGTAGGAGGAGTTTCCTAGAGGATATTCCATCACCTACTGAAATGGAGCCATTCCTGAAGCTCCTAATTAATAAAGCCAAGCTTCAACGTTTGCACTAGTAGCAATGTATCTGTGGAATTCAGATGGCTTTCCTCTAGTTTTCCAAAGTGAGGAAAACTTGGCTTTCTACCTGTCTTCCTCCAGCTTCAGCTTTGCAGAGTTGGCAAGCGATACAAAAAAGGAGGAAAGACATGAACTAGGCCGTCTGTCGTTGGAGGGTATGAAAGACAGTCTGAATAACAGCAGGAGAGGGAGAAGCAGCCTATGGTTATTTTTGACAGAATTGGGAGAGACTCAGATTGCAGCTTCATAAACAGTTCATCAGAGAAAAATTCTGTTCAAATTGGAGGAGCCCCTTTGGCCAAGCTCACAGAAATACACAACCCGTGTCTGGGAAGAGGGAAATATTTCAAAAATCAAAATGGTTTTCTTTAAAGAACAAAACCAAACCGCCACCCCCCATGTGGTGTAGTAACACCAACTTGCATTCCTGTCATTGCAACTCATGGCTTGCAGAATATTCATAGAAAATTTCTGGGTGACACCAGGCTGTGAATGTTCTGCCTGACACAGAGTCCTGACAACGCAGTGAAATGAAAAATGGACTTTTTCATGTGTCACCCAACCTCAAGGTCCCCTCAATGGACTGTTCTACAAAACTGGAAGTGATGCAGAGGGGCAGCAGGCAGAAAAATGCCTGCCATAACCCAAATCCACCTAGATAAAACTAAATAAAAATGGTTATTCCATGTATGTATTCATACTGAAGAGGAACATGGAATTCACCTCAGACACATGTGATTTTTGGTGTTGCTTCTGCAACAAGCAAAGTACATACCCAAAACCCAACCACCTTTCAAAAGAAGATTGTATAGGGGGACTACAAACCTTGATAATTAGTCTACAATGATTTGCATGACCTGTGCTTCTTCCTTATCCCTTCCAGCTGCTTGATGGACAGGTACAGTACAATGGAAAACACTACAGAAATGGGAATCAATGGGTTTCTTCTGTCTAACCACAATATCATTCTCACTTCATTTACTGCTTAGTGGGAAGGCATTTCTGTGGCCCAGGAATCAGCTCTTTCCAAATGGACGAGTCTCAAAGTTCAGCATTTTAGTGGTTTAAACTAAGTAGGAGTTTGCTCATCCATAGCAGCCTGGACTGCAGAAAATCCAGTTGTCTGACCTCTTAATGCTGTCTCCTATCCAGCATTACAAGAAAAGGACATTTGGTGAAGGCTCTGTACTAACACAGTAGGGGGGTACGTGCTACAATACATCAATCCTGGGGAATGGAAGGGGCTGGAAGCAGAACTACATTGAAACACTCCAACCAGAAACAACTTCTGCTTCTGAATCGCAGAATCATGGAATGGTTTGGGTTGGAACGGACTTCAAAGACCACCTAGTTCCAACCCTTCTGCCATGGGCAGGAACAACTTCCACTAGACCAGGCTGCTCATCCAACAGAGCCTTGAACACTTACAGGGATAGGGGAAGGAAAGAGCAATCTAGTACAGAGACTTGATTAGCAGCAAGGTACGGTGAGATGAACCCCCCTCCCTGACATTGGTGTGACACTGATGGAACAAATCTCTTAACCAGAAGTGATAGAAGCAAACCACTATCCCTCAGAACACCAGACTGCTTAAACTGGGCAGCAAAGAGGCCACTGAGAGGATCCTCTGCCCTGTACCAGGGCAAGGAAGATATGCTGAGCCTTGGCAGTGCTTTGCCCAAAAGCACAGGCGCACCTGAGGTTGTGCTGTGTGCTTCCCACAACTGCAGTCACCTCTCACCTCACTGGAAGTGTTCAGCGAGGGCTGTTTTGCACAGTTAGTTAGCTGTTAGCCCACAAAAGTCATTTTATGATATTATCCATAGCACGTGTGCTCTGAAGGTTTTTAGAAACAGTGCCAGGAGTGCAGTAAGAATGAATAACTGTCTAGTAACCTTACAGCCAGGCACACACACATGCACATCTAGCTATGCCTCCATAATTAGCTACACTAATTATTTGTAGCAATGCTTTCATGTACCAAACCTGAAGTATCAATGAAAATATACAGCTGTGTAGAAAAAATCATTCTGTGAAACAAAATATTCACTTTCAGTCTACATGTAAGCATATGCTAAACTTACACAGCTATAACACACAAAACTCTCACATGCCTAAATACACACAGATATACAGTGAAAGGAAGGCATATAGTTAGGGAAAAATACTTTACATATGTATAGAAAAAAATGCAGGAAGGAAAACCAACCCTTTCACTTAGAACAATATCAGTACCAAAAAATCAATCCTTTAACATGACTGCAGAAAAGAAATCAGATTTTGGAAAAAGGACTGTTTGTAATTTTTATTGCTTCTGGAGTAGTGACGTAGCAAGAGCCCACTGCTATAATTTCTCCCTTTTGTATCCATAAAATAATTCCCACCTGGGGTGCAAAGAGAGGAAACGAAAGGAAATAGAAAATTATATTTTTCATGAGCTAATCCTGGGAGGCAAACGCTCAGGTTTCCATGTTTCTGGGCAAGAATAATTTAAACAAGAACAGTAATATTTTGTTATTTTTTGCACAGTTGGAGTGTATGCTTCCAGATAACAGACAATTAAATTGCAATTTAAGAAGAGGAGGAAGACAATATCTGATAGGATTCAGGAGTCCTCTCCTCTTAGGACTGCTGCATAGCTCAACACAGAATACTACAAAACAGACAGCCCAGATGCAAACCTCTTTGGAAATGCTGAAGGCAAGCAAGACCATCGGAAAAACAAACTGAAAGCAAAGAGAGCACAACTACTGTACCTTTACTTTGGGGAGGGTTCTGACTTCTGTCTCGGAGAACATTAATCTGGTAGACAGCTCCATAAGGCTCAAAAAGTTCTTTTAACTCTTTTTCTGACCACGAACGGGGAATCTGTCCAACAAACATCTTAATGGCATCTGGGTCTGGTTGATCTGAATGATCCAAAGCTCCATTCATCTTGTTAGCTGTGCCGTTACTAGAAAGTGGAAAAGGAGATTGAAAAGAAGGCAAGTTAGGAGACTACGCAGTTTTCATGTGCACTAGATACAGAAGATGATGTCAATTGGCACAAAGAAGAAAAAAAAAATCAGTATTTAATTAATAGCATAAGTATTACGAACAAAAAACAATGCTATTACATTTTTCATTGAGTCTGGTTTTCTCTGCAGGCTGCTACTTAATGTCATTATATAAGATGAGAGCGGCACAACACAACCCGGGACGTTTGCATTTTAAAGCAGAGGATAGTTGCAAATAAGTGCAGATTTCTGTCCATGGCTGTTGTAAACAGAACTGCAGTGAATTCTCACTAAACTGGCTACTGGCAGAAACAAGGCAGTGCGTGTGTGTGTGTGTGTGTGTTTTGTAATAAAGTCACATGAAAGGAATATGAAACACTTGGCAATCTGTCAGATGACTAATGCAAGATGCCAGCGATGAATCTGCAGATTGTGTGAAGCATCCATGTGTGCATCAAATTAGTATGATATTGCCTAGAATGGAAAACACTCCAGCTATGTGGCTGGTTGCTGCCGATTAGTTGCCTACGCTCTTTAAAAAGGAAAGGCAGTCTGGAGTGCTCCAGTTTAAATCACGTTGTTTATTGCTGTCATAAAAAAAGAAAAAAAAAAAGCCAAGCACAATTCAAAAAGAGAAGATAGTGGCAAAATTGCCTACTTTGTTGTGAAAATTAAAATACTACTTTGAAAACTTTTTCTCCCTGCCAAAGGAGATCAAATTTTTGAACATTTTCACCCCCTGTAAATTTTTACCCTATCTGATATCCAGATGTACATCCTGCATCCAAGTTCAAAACAACCACACACTTTTGCAGGGGAAAAGAACTTAGTAACAAAAAATAATTTGATCTGGGAGACAAATTACAGGCTACAGTTTAGGAAGGGTCATACTCTTATATGAAAAACAAATAATTTTAAATATTGAACAAAAGAAAAATACAACCCCGCCCACCAAACTCATGTCACTATTGATAATTAAGGACAGTAGTTTCAACTAATTACTTGGCTAGAGATTCCGTTAGTGCTGATAATTTTTGGATGTTTCAGTTTCAAGAACGAACAGTAATGAGATGCGACTTTTTGAGCATCCTTCCCATCTTTCCACCAGGGATAGGGGGGAAATGGCCTGTGTGCAGCAGTGTCAGAAGCTGATCACGGCAGAATTCAGGCATTTCAAAGCCACCTGCCACTTCAAAAAAATTTGGCTTTAATTACAATTTCTCTGTTTGATGATTGTTCAGGAGTGAATGCCCACCGGAGGACTTGGAAGAGCTCAAAATCTGCACAACCAGATGAAAATCATATTTTACATGTGAAAAAAAACCCCTCTAAGAATGGCAAGGAGAAAACAACCCTGTGTAATTCCCCTGTCTCACAGCTATAACCGGTGTGAAGACAAATCATTTAGTTTCATGTGTTTCATCTCCTTGAAAGCATAATTCACCTAAACACATTAATATGCCCATATTAACTTTAGCACTTTCCCTGCTTACGGTGGAAAGGAGAAAGTTATATTAAAGACACATTTTAAACCAACAACAAGAAGTTTGATCATTGCTTGTGAAGTGTTTTTAACATGGATCAGCAGACAACAGCATTTATCACACTCATAAATAGCTAAAAATCCTATTTATTCTAGTGGGAGTCTTGCCTGAGTAAGAGAGTCAAAAGATTTGGTCCAAACTTTTATATCACATTTCATGCACAAATGCCCTCTCAACTTACAAATGCTCTTCATTTTGAATAAGTTCTACAGGTCACAAGTACACCTGGAGATATCATGGTTCTCCAGGCTTTAGAAAGTGCGTTTTCCATACATACACAACACTTAAGCCAAAGCAAACCAACATCCAAAGAACCATCTCCACCCCAACCACCAAGAAACAGAAAAACCCTGACTGACTCACTTGATTGATACTCCATGGGAACAACTTTCAAGACTTTCAGTAAGCACCTCCATGACACTTAAACCTCTAGAAAATCACTCCATTATTTCTTTTGAATTCCTATTCCTTTATGTAAAACCCAATTTGTCAAAAAGAAACCCTAATAGAGAGGTTGAAAAATCCCTGACCCATAGCTTAAAATAACTAGGGAAAATGCTTTCACATTATTTTGGACCTGCAAAGACAGGAAAAGGTAGAAGCTTGGTAAAGCCCCCAACTCTGCCCTGGCCTTGGTCAGCTATTTTTTTCAGAAATTGGCTTCACTTTTCATTTCATTTATTCTCTATGTTGTTTACATTAACAAAATGAATTGAGTTCATTTTAAAATCATGCCCTTCACCTATTCTTTCTCTTGGATCCCTTCTCTAAGAAATTCATACATAATTGCTACTTCAGCCCAAAATTACAGCTAAGGTAATGTTTAATTAAAAATAACAAGTTAATTCCTGTGCTTTTTCCTTTACCAAAACCACCTTTACCACCAGGAGCCCCACAGTTTCCATTGCTATTCAGCCAATTTTTAGGAAACCACAAAGCCTAACACTTATTTGTACCTCTTTTCTCAGGTTAATGACCCCAACTGCATCAAGTTCTTGCTTTGAGCTACAGATTTAGGCACAGGCCAAGATCTCTTCTAATTTCACAAAATGCTTCAGTTCTTTTTCTATTTTGTTGGAACCAAAATTGAATTGATCATATTCCTTAAATGCTTTACTGGATAAAGATGGTTAAAGGCTCTGATCCAGGAGTAGGCTACCATACGCATAACTCCAGGGGACAGGTTTTGTCACTCACTGCCTGCATTAACTTGGGCAAGTCATTAAAACTTCTCTGGACTAAATTCAACCATCCACTGACAGCTCTGTCAATCCACTTACTCCTGCAGATTTAGAAAAAAAGAAGCACAGTTTAGACTTTTCTTTATAATACTTTTCTACCACAAGGTAGGGGCTTGACTGAGCTGCCAACATTTTGGGGGGTTGATAGACAAGTTCAGGCCACAGAGAGGGCATTCATTTCTACAAGCACAGCTGGGCTCCTTCCTAAATTGCATTTCCTTTGATTTCAGTGCAAACTAAGGCTCTCAAGCACCTCAGAGGGATAATGCAAGTCTCACTGTTGGGATTTTGAGGAGCTCATGAACACTGTTGCAGCAATGACACTTCAGTAGCATCTTCACCCAGCTTCAGCAGTAGCTGTAGGATTAGAGCCAGTGCAGTCAAACTAAACTAGTGAATAAAACAACAGAGAGATAACAATGGAAAGAAACCACCCCAGTTTTATAGATTCTATGGATCTGATCCCTGCAGTGTACTTGAAAGTTCCACTGAGTAACAAAACTATACACCACACTTGCCTGATGGTTCAGTTGTCACAGAGCTTGTTGGGTCAATACAAAATCCATCGAAATATCCTTGATCCCTTGCAAATAATCTCTGCTAAAGATGAATTCCCTTATCCTCTCCCAGTCCTCATCTTCACCCAATGGACATTACTGCTCTGCACTAAGACCTCTTGGTCACCAAGAGCTGCAGGGTTTTCACTAACTTCTCTCTGCCAACACAATGACTCTCAGAGGAAGCGGCTTCTACCTTCCCCCATCTTACCCTTCTCCTGTACCCAAGAAATAACAAGGCAAAAGAGAAACTATGCATAAAACTTTTCAAAAGAAGCAAAGTAGACCTTGTGAAAGTTTAGGACTATTTCTTGAAAGCACGAGCGTACAGAGATAGCTGTATCTAGGGGACACTAATGAGAACGAGATCCCTTGACAATTACTGTCAGTACCCAAATGATGACATATATTAAAAAAAAAAAAAAAGGAAAAAAAATTATGTGGTTTGCTGGCTCTACATTGTAGCAATCCTTCCCTCCATGGCCAATTTAGCCCATTGGACTCAGGGGTGACCCAGCACATCATCTTCACTGACAAGGTGTCATCTATATCGTAGAGAGCAGCCTGAGGGCAGAGATTAAGCCACTGAGTCGCTGGCTGCTTGTGGTTGCTGCCAGAGCATCTTCTCTCTCAATTTGTGCCAATTTTCCTTCTAATAACCTAACTACCATTCCATCATTTCAGCAAGTTGACAGGACCACTCCTGAGGAGCTAGAGATTGTTTTAATATCCGTGCTGCTTCAGCAGGAGCACCGGAAAAACCTGGTAGATGCCTTCTCTGTCTCTTCCATTCATATCTGTAATTACTGCAAGACTGCTAAAAGTGAACTGGCCACTAAGGACAGAGAGGGAGCCTTCAGAAACAATGTCTGGATCAAAAGGGACTCTCTTAAATTCATCACCATTAAGAGCTTTGGTGTTAATCCACGTTTGCTTCCATTAATGACCTCGGTGTCAAACCAGGTGCTGAAAAACAGCTGTTAACAGGGACCAAACAGATTTACATGAGACCTGTTTTTCAAATCTATTTTTAACCCTACACAGAACCTTCACGCTGTTGTTTTTTGGTTAATTCATGTTGCAACCCTCACCCTACTTTAGTGGTTTTACCATTTTGCTGGGGATTTGCCTTTTTTCATGTTCCACGGTTTAAGACATCTGAGCCAACAGAACAAGAACGTGATAACAAACAGGTTCCAAGTGTAAAGACAACTAAATCCACCCCAGCACTGAGGCATTTGCAGGCACCAAGGTTTTACAGTAATAAGTATTTACATCTGATCCAAGGCATCACTGCCAGGATACCACACAAGCTGAAAAAAGAGACAACATCCGTTCAAAGGCCTCTGACTGCTATCGAGAGACACAACCAAGCATCACCTTACCGTACTCCAAAGATCATAATTGCTGGTTTACGAGCAAATTTTATCTGGAAGGACCCAAAAGGGCTTTATAAACTCATTGTTTAGAGAGGAATGACTTCATCGTAAGGTGACAGACGGCAGCTGTTTAATGACATGGAGCATTATCGCACAACAGTTTCAGCCAGGAAGGGTAGAACAATACCGTACCCAATTGAAAACTGCAGGGGGTTGCGATTTATAGACACAGAAGG